AGTGGCATTTAGATGGGTAAATAAAGCTTGTGCTTGGGTTTTACTTAACAGAATCGAAGAAACTCTGATAAAAATAAATAACGTTCGGTTAATATTGCCGGCTTACACCATAAAGTGATTCCCAACTTTTTTTCGTACTTCAATCGTCCTTCCTGAAAATCTAAAACTTAAACGACAAATTATTGCAAATCAAGTGCTACATAAATCTACGTCTTTTTGGAGGACTAATAAAAAAAAAAAACATATTGGCATCTTTATCATTGGACGGCTATAAAGCAGGCAAAATTTCATTATTGCTGAAATACAATAAATCTTTAATACAATTAATTAAAAAGTGCCAATTTTATTAAAATACTTAGAAAAATACTTAAAGCAGAAAACAGTAAACTGTAATGAACGGATTCAAATTCAACCTCCACAAATAACAGCTGTGGACAACTTGCTGTCTACTTTTTACCGAATCCTGTTCGGTGAAAACTCAGTAAATTTCTTTCTTTGGGAGAGTAAGACATCTTACTCTCTCAATTTCGTTACTGGCTAACTTTTACTGACATTTCTCAACGAATACAGCTGTTAGTGTTGAAATCCCACAAACTCATCATCATGGCTGCTTGCGATGATATTAACAGCAAACTTTAATTTTAACATTTAACATTATCTGTTAACGATTTAACATTAACGACAGCTTTTCGCTTCAGGTAACGATAACATTGCAAATGTTTCAAACGAAATTATTGCATTTTTTTTTGATTAACGGGAAATTTATCGTTACGACGCAGCCTTGAATCAATAAAAGTGAACGTAATTTAGACGAATAAAATTTAAAATATTTGATTCGCTCGAAATGTTCCTTTAACATTAAAAGAGTAATGGACGAGCATAGAGATGCTCGCTCGCCTCGGTACCCAGGTATCAGATATATTTTTTGTAATAATTGTTACATTAACAATGCAGTATTAAACTGGTATTACATATAATACATATATTGAACATATTGCATAATAATATTTTTTGCAGTATAATAATTATAATTATCCAATTTATGTCAAATATGCACCGTTTCGGTCTATAAATTTTTGTCATTTCGAAAGTAATTTCTTTTTGCCTCTCGTAGAAATTTATGCTCCTATTGGCAAAAACTTTGGTCAATCGATTTTCACAGACTTCTTTTGAGACAGGAAGAGAAGGTAACCACTTGGTGCGCGGTCTGCATAGAAACCTCTCAACAAATCTATCGGAGCTTCTGGCGGGACTCCATGTATGTGTGTGGTCTGACATTGTAATGAAGAAACATAATTCCCATCCCTTTGTCAAAAGCTGGTTGTTTTTGGACGACTGCTTCCTTTCGACGGTCCAAATTAGGAGTTTGGTCATAGGGGATCAGCTAATAGGAATAGTGAATGATTCTTTGCCGATCCCACCAAACACGCAAGTCTAGCTTGAAGGGCGTTTGTGCTGGCCTACGGCCTTTCGACCACGAACGTTTTCATTTGACGTTGCTGTAAGTGAGCCACTTTTAGTCACCAGTCACTATCTCCTCAAGCAATAAGACGATTTTGTTATGATTCAGCAGCGATTCACGGATGGAAATTCATTTTATGAGGTTTTTTTTCATGATCAAAGGGGGCGAAAGCATTGTACATTACAAATTTGAACACATTAACCGCTACATCATCCTTAAGTTCCTATTAAAAAAGCTGTGTAAGTGCATTTATCCATGAAATAATGTTTGTGTACCAAATATCTAAACATATACGTACATATGTATATACATACTTGAATACCTACGTCAATGTGTTTTATGCATCTGACTTAAATAAAAATATGTCTTTGCCAATTGACCTTTCCCCATTTTAATACCACACAAAATCGGATGTGTGTACACATACACATCAACATATATAGTATACACATCTGTATATATAGTATGCTATAAATGTATGTATTTGCCTTGCTATGCAAATTCCTACAAGTGTTGGGCTCTTTACTTCAGTGCACACTTTCAGCATAAGAAAGGTGAATTCGGTTTGCTATCAAATTTCATTCCAACGTCACCTTCTTTTCGAATTTATATTTTGAGCACTAAATACTATATTAACTTTTCACATGCGTAATCGCAAAAACAACAAATTTCGATGTTTAAAGCCAAGCCGCCAACCCGTCTCTAATTTATCCTATTACTTCCCAGTGAGAAGACACAGAATATCCATTTACTTGTATTGTACATATGTGGCTAATCAGCCCCAAAGCGATTTTTCCGTTTTATTCCTAATTTCCGCTGGTGGAAGCAGAGGAAAAGGACATAGCTTTACTGGGCGCTGCTGTTGTAGGCTCGTACCGACTGTGGCTTGAACTATCTGTGTATGTTCGAGTATCATGAAGTTTAGGGGGTAATAAAGGTGAAAATAAAATATAGAAAATATTTTCAAAATTTAAATTGTGTACTTATATTTGGTTTGAGAATAAAATAATATTTGTTAGGCGCATATAAAGAATAAATGAAAAGGTCGAAAAGAAGGAATATTGCGTTTGTAAGCAGCGCCAGAAGAGTGAACATAATTTTGTATCCATTTTATGTACGACTATGTATGTCGGATGATTAACTGCTTTTTTTACATACTTAATTCTTTACGGATAGCAGAAACTTTTCCATTAGTTTATTTTGTAAAGCTAAAAACTCATATGTAGCAATAACAGACAAATATTATTTACCCGGTTACCCATTTTTCAATTTTTTCTACATTTTGTATTTATGAAACTAGATCATATAACACAGAACCAAAAAAAAAAAATATGTACACTAAAAGCAATCGGATTGAAAGCATATATAATTTACTTTAATTTACCTTTGGTTCTAGCTTAAAAGCTTCAATGGCTTTGGAGGTATTCTAAATTGAAGTCGAGTGCTTTGGGTGAGCAAGTTTTTTTTTTTTTGATTCACAGTATGTAGGTTTTGTATCCATAAGCAAACATCAGATTTTCAGTTTGTTTGCGATTATCGAAATGACAGAGAAACCGGCAAAGCGAAATGGTTCTCTCATTACCCTCGGAGAACTGATTTCTCCGAGTTTTTGGGTGCGTCTTTATGTTTTCCAACAAAAGAACTGTAGGTCACACTGGCTTAGAATACCACCTCCGAATAGCCGATGGATTTTATTTGTCATTATTGTACTAGAGCTCACCTGCCTTTAATATTGTTTTCACCAATTTGTGGTAAGTATCTTGATATTTTTCCAGCAAACTATTTATAATATTTCCCCTCCGAATGGTTTTCATTAGAATAATTAACTTAACTTTTTTTTAATTTTCTATAATTTGGACTCAACCCTGCCCTTCTGAATGGTAGTTCGTAACGCTAACCACTCAGCCATTGCCTTTTTATAAAATATAATAATTTTTATTAGAATGTAGGGTTTTAAAGCTTAACTAAACATGATAATAAAATTAAATTCTGATATATTTTTATGAAAACGAAGTGCTACACCACTCGCAGTATTTCTCTGTAGACAATATTTTTTCAATTTCTGTGTGGTATTAGAATCACCAGGTCACTCTATGAACTTGCTTTGAAGTATGTCAAATGCCACAGGGAAAGTAGTTTTCTTTGCAGTCTACTTATATTACCTTAAGAGTTTGAGCTTTGTTTATGGTTATTGTGAAAAATACTATGGAAAACTGTACTCTTTGGAGTTCGAAGGGGTAATGTGATAGTATGAGCAGAATCATATCTTAATTACAATATGAGTGCCGGAAGAACGGAAGCTTTGGGATATTCATTAACTATACCATATAACGAATCGCATGGTGGTTGCTCATGACTGAGTCGGCGAGCTAGTACCGATGTTCGATTCCTTCAAATGATGAAAAAATTATGACTGAGAATTGATTTTTTTTTTTGGTTTTAAGATTGCACACGCGCCCTTTTGGGGGGCTTATAGCGAATATTATTTATGTTTAGGTAAAATTTTAGCATAACTTCTTCAACTGCCGAAGCAGCTGTTCCATTGGACGCTAATATTTTTGGTCAGGCTGAGTTTTTTCACTAAAGATCATAAATATTTAGCTTCATGCAGACTTCAACTTATCGCGCGCGTTACCCTGGGCACCACTGGTAAAGTCAGCCGGATACCGCCTGCCAGCAATACAGTAAAGCCTTCGTTTTGAAAATTATTATTATTTCTAATATCTTATTATGATCTACTTAGGGCTTCGAAGCATCCTTTATGAACCATCGTATTACACGTAAATGTTTAGATATACATTTTTCGATGATTGCCTTTGATACTTTCGAAAAAAAAATGTATAATTGCATTTGCTACTGCTTTTTATATTCTTTGGGAACTCCAGTCAACGAACACTTTACTCTTATTCTTCTCTTAAATTAAAATACACAAACTATTTACACCGTTCAAATGGATTGTTCTACAATTGTTCTCTTATTTTTGTGTCAAATCGAGCTATAAATAGATCAGACCCACCTTCCGGGAGTAAAAGTGCCTCCGATGATATTTTAGGCCCGAAGCTACCTCTGTACCAAATTTTATGTAAATCAAACAATAAATAAAACTTCTTCGAATAGATCAGTCTCAAGTCCAGTTCCCAGAAAAATGTGTCCCACATGTCAGTTGAGGCAAAGAGTTGCTTCTGAACCAATTACATGTAAATCAAACGATATATAAGTAAGTTCGATTTCTTGGAATAGATCGGTCTGAGGTCTACTTTCGAAACACGCAGAACACACCCTATAAGTTTCAGGTCTCTACGACGAGGGGTTTAAGATATATATGTCCTTTAATAGAAAAGTTGCGCACCTCGTATTGGGAGTTGATGTGGAGCCAAATTTCGAAGTTTATTTATTTAATTTCTAAAATTTCAGTTTAGTGGCTTAAATAAACGAAACTATAAGAGATAGGTCATGTAATATAAGTGTAAAAGCATACTTTTATTAATTTATATCAAATCCATTCTAATTTCATTTCATTTCGATTTTAAATTTTCAGCCTATAAAGCAAACGTTCCTGAGTTAAAAAGTGGATATGTGCTGATATCCCGAGATTCATTACGTTAACCTGCGTTTAACCGGGCTGTGAATACTAACTTGCAAGTGCAACGATGGGTCACATTTGAAGTCAAGGCTGCAGATTCGCTGTAAGCACCCGGCTACTTATCTCGGGTTATGCTGACGAAGGTTAAAAAACGGACAGCACTTTTTGCAAAGATATCGCCTGATTATTGCCCGTGTCAATCGGCGCCATTTGCAGCCGAATACCAATACCGTATGTATGTAGGGACAAGTTCATATGTGCGTCGCAGTAAGGTAGTAAGATTAAAGGATCACATCTATGATTATGAACCATTCAGCAACCACTGAAGGTTCTAAAAATGTTTTCTTCCGGATGTATGTGGCAGCATGATTTATGTTCGAAAATTGTGTAATATTTTAGATATAAGAACTTAACCTGCAGCATAAGGAATTAACCCATTGACCGCACTGGTCAACAATAAAGACGAGCTAAAATAAATTAGGGTAAAATCAGCATTAGCCAGACACATTGATGGTATCGCTTACGGAAATTAACAACATCGATAACGATGACGTCCAGTAGCACTATCGACCTTACATTGCAGGGCTACTTCCGGCTGCACAATTCCGGCGCCGACAACGATGATAAAGGCGTGAAACTGAATATTGATGGTGGCGGCCGTTCCAAGGAGATGAGCAATATTTTTATGGACATTTGGAATTCTTTTGACAGTTCAAACACAACAGGCATAGAAGCGACAAATGTGACCTCAATGAACTCACCGTCGATGGCCAATCACAGTATAACATTCCCTGAAAATGCCAACAATACGCAATATAAGTGGACATCCTCATTGATTGAAACGTTCGCCAATATGGATTCTCACTACTCTTCAGTATTTGTTGCTGTTAATTCAACGCTGCCTACGGATAGTGAAGAAACAAGCGGAAATGAAATTGGAAATGAAGGAGGATGGTTGGTTGGTAACAACGACACTATCACTGAGGACGTACTCAATGCTTACAGCACACCAAGTTTATTTGATGCCACGCTTAGACCGTCAGAAAGGACTAGTCTGTTGCCTGCTGAGGCAGGAGATGACATCAATTTTGCCTTGATCGACAGTGCGGAAACTGCTATCGGCGCCGACAATGATTATGAAACCGCAGTTGGATTTAATGGCGGCGGGGAAGCCGAAAACATTGACAATCCATCGGTCGAGAGCACGGGATTGAATGGACACTCGATGGCGTTCGATAGTTTTAGTTATAGTAAAAACAAATCTGTGTTCTATGCGAGTTTCGATGACGGTACGACGAATACACCAACGGTTGGAAAAGCAATAAATTCAGCGGATGGTAGTAAGACCGGCAGCACATTTACTATGTTGCTTGAGGACTTTGGGGATTATTTTTTTAATTACAACGGTAATAGTAGCGAAGTTGGTGGCGGAATTGATGATCTACAAAAAGATATCCTAACTTGTAACGGCAGTGATTTGATTATACAAACTAATTGCACAAACATGACGGATTTGTTTATCGAGGCAACTGAAGAAGGTATGTACAAGCGAATAGAATGTGTTGGTATGTATTGGTGGCTAGGTTCAGACTCCAGTTTCAGAACGTACTTAGCGTTACAGTATCTTGTTTAATTCCACAATAGATTTCATCCCCATTATCAGAATTTTTCACAGTTTTAAGGATAATATTTTTTTATTTTCTGCCTTTACAGTAATTTTAAGCAGAGTTGGTTGAGTCTGAATCTAGAATTCTAGAATACTATACTGAAGCAAATGTGTAACGATTTAGCTTTAGTTAACTTCGGGTAGAAGATAATTGTGAAAACCGGACTGTATTCAGGTAGCACGCAGAAGAAATAAAATTCAAGCTATTCTAGTTACTTATACAAAATAAAGAACAAAAATAAAGTAAGGTAATAATTATGTGTGTATATTGAACAAAAAATTAGAATAAAGAACTACACATACATGCATATGGGTATTGATATTAATAGAGGGGGGAAGCTGATCAAGAATTTTGAAAAAAAAAAGAAAAAAATTTTTTTATCTTAAAAGGTGCTTTAGGGTATTAAAAATAACATACTAAAAGATGGATGCCGGCAAAAATGTCTAAATGCCCAAATTTTTCATTCGACGGCAGTGCCTCGCAGATATGCCCCGAGCGACCAACAACTTTAAAAGCGTTTTTTTCGAAATCATTTTTTTTTAACTGGCCGAAGACATAACTCGAACAAATCTTCACCGATTCTTACAAAAATTTTTATTACATAGTTTTTTTTAGTCAACAATTTTATATCGGGTTTTATAGTGTGAAAATTTTAGCATTGCTCGTTTGAAGCACCATTTCAAGAAAAATAAACAAAATGTCGTAAAAACCATGTGGATCATTGTTGTTTTTATACTCGTATATTGTAGAAAAAAAAAAAATTTTTTTTGACCGAGGCCTAAAATTAAGAAGTTTATGTCTTCGGCCATGGACCCATTAGAAAAAAGGCGTCTAGGGTGAAATGCTGGATCGCGGCCATTTCGAAATTGAATCACACGAAAAAGTTTGTATTTGTACGATACAATCTATATTATTAAACCTATTTCCAGATTTTGGATTGATTTCTTTGTGGAGTCAAAATAAATTCATAAAACTACGCTCATATTTTTGCGCTCTAGACCAGCTTCCCCCCTAACTATTACAATATTTTTTTTTACATGGGACACACATGCCCATTTTTCTTGGTATTTAAGCTGTTCAGGTTAGTTTACTAAAGGTCTTAAAATAAGCATTAAAATCTTAAAAACTATGTTTAATATATATAGTTCAAGTTAAGTTAATACGAATGTATCACAAGATAACCACAAACACAAGTTAGAAGAGCACAAAATACCTGAAAGTAGCCAAATTTTCGAACCTGACTCAGCCGGTTGAGACCTTTTTGATAAACGGTTGTTTTGGATATGTTCGAATTTTGTTCTGATACTTTTCAATACAGCAATGTAATCGATGTATACTTTAAAATTTTTTTGTTGTATAAACATTTTTCTTAAAACAATAAAATGAGCGGGAATATGAGAAGGCCCTGCAACTCAATTAAATCGTATTTAATATTAGTTTTGTTCGGTAACCTGATGGGCAGTAACGATTGTTACTGAATTTTACTGAATCGTCAGTAAATTAGCAACGAGAGAACGACATTTTGACGCTTAGCTCAAAAACGCCCGGTCAAAATTTCAGCCAGTAAAAGCTACTAAGTATGGAAAACAGCTGATTTGTGATCATATGGTTGCATTTTCGTCAACAAACCAAAAATTATTTGAAATGAAAATATTATTAATACTTTAGTATGAAGGATCCACAATGCAAATAAGTGCCCAAAAGTAAGTTTGTTCAATTAAATTTAATGATATCAACACACAAGCGAATATTTGCAAATTTAAAAATTATTGTTTACTAATTCTTGTTGTAAATTATAAACGATGTGAACAAATGTCGTATCTGAAAAATATCGTATGAAAAACAAGGGTTCGGATAGTTGAGCAGTTTTAATAGAAACATTTGTGTGATGACTTATGACGAGGCATACGTGGAGCATGTTGCACCCATTACAATTGCACCCACTACAATTCTTTAAGTTTTAGGTTACACTATTTGGCTCGGAAACTTAGTGCAATAACTGGATTTCACACATCTATATATACTTATTGGTAAAGTAAAAGGTTCGTTCGGTTTTTATTGATTTTTTAAAATATAATAACTTTGTGTACATTTGTCCGATTTAACTCAAATATGCGCCGTTTTGTTCGTAAACCAGTGCCAGGTTCGGAATATAAGGTGGGTGCTTTAGGACTTCCCATACGAGCTCCTGGAGCTTCAGGCGCGTCACCAAAGACGTGTGTGGCCTGGCGTTATCCTGATGGAACACACTTCGGCATCTGTTGATCAAAGATTGCCTCTTCTGGATGAGTACTGCCTTCAAGCGTTCCATTTGTTGGCAGTAGAGGGCCGAATTAAGCTTTGGCCATAGCGGAGCAGCTCGTAGTAGATGATTCCTTGCCAATCCCACCAAACACACAGCAAAGCCTGGGCATCTTTGACATCGAAGTTACCGGAACGGAACCTAGGAAAACACTGTGGTGCTATCCGTTCGTTTACAGTATCGGGCTGCTTTGGCTGCTTTTTAGCCTTGATCGAAGAAAAATTGTAAAATGTTGCGAATTTTCTCTTCGCTGGTGTCCATCTTTGACGAGCGCTCACAACGTACTGAGTTAATCAATCGAAAAACTATCAAGGACAAACTTTTGGCGCGAATAAACGCGTTTTCAGCGCCGTATAGTATGATATGAAGCGACACGTAACATACTAGTACTATGGACAATAACGCCATTTCTTAGATAAAAACCGAACGAACTTTTTACTGGACCTAATATCTTCTTTTTTCATGCTCATTTGCGAACAGTCGCCAACGACGTACAATTCTAACAGATTGTTTGATATAGCAGCAAATGGACGGTGCTCATTTCAGGATCAATTTACTTCAGGCATATCAGCTATTGCAGGAGTAATAACCGCAGAGAATACCGCTATTTTAAGTCCATGCAAGTACCAAGTGAAATATTCACTCTAAACACCAAACAATCGGAACTAGGAGACCTACGCATGTGAAATTAAATACATTGGCATACAAGCACAAGTAGAAATGCTATTGCCCAGTCGAGTCCTCTAGCGAACGTTTCATCCTATCCAGTGGCCCAAACTCGCTTTCACCAATCCTTTGACGAGCAACGTCGCACAATGGGAGAAAGTGTTCAAAACACGCGCATTGCTTAATGATATTTTCTTCATTTCATTTTCGAACATTTTATTTAAAAAAGATCAAGGAAGGTCTACCTGAAAGTTCTGTCCATTTTTGGAATTAAACAAAATACTTGCTTACATCAAACCTTCTTCCGAATATGGTCATAAATGGCTTGTTGAGCTAAATTAAACCTTTCTGCGATCTCCGATGTTGTCAGAAAAGGATCTTGCTACAACAACATTGCCTTAAAAAGTGGGTTCTCAGAAAGGTCGAAATCAGCTGTTTCAAATTTTTCGTACTATCTTCTTCATGTCCTATCAGAAACAGTACCTTCACCAAACACTTTCAATAAATTTCTACATGCTTCTGTAGCATTTCTTCATTTCTCTAGTGGTGGAAATGAACTTTGTCTGTCGCCATGGGCATACTATTGTTTCCCACTTAAGACTAATGGGAATCAACTTTATTATAGTTTATTTGCTACGTCAGTGTGGACGACTATACACCAAGCGATAAAAATATAGAGCCGATATCACAAAATTATTCCACAACTCTGCCATTCCCTTTAAAGCAGTCCCTTTGGGTAGTTATACGAGTACAACGATTCCAGCGCGTTTTCTATGCCTTGTAACATTTCTGGAACACTTCGACTGGGATGTCCGCGAGTACCCTCAAGGCCGCCTGGATGTCCTCAAAATGCGGAAGGTCATGGGTTTGAACCCTGCAACAAATATTATACTGGAATTCAACGCCTCCGACTGTTTTTCTGAAATGAAATACAATAAAAGCTGCTAAAAAAATAGACAATTATTATAACGTATACATTTGGCAATTGGTTTTTGGCAACGCTGGTTTAAACAGCTGAAGTACGTTTTAATCAGCTTGGTATATAATTTAACCTTGAATCGTCTTACAAACGAACAACGCTTGCAAATTATTGAATTTTATTATCGAAATGCGTGCTCGGTTAAGAAAGTTCATCGAGCACTTCTTTCGCGCGCGCTTCGAAGCTCATTTTTGGCTTAATGGGTGGGTGCGTAAATAAGCAGAATTGTCGATTTTGGAGTGAAGATCAGCCAGAAGCATTGCAAGAGCTACCAGTGCATCCAGAAAAAGTCACAGTTTGGTGCGGTTTATGGGCTTGTGGCATCATTGGACCGTAGTTTTTCAAAGGTGATGCGAATCGTTACGTAACTGTGAATGATGAGCGCTACCATGGGATGATATTAAACTTTTTTTTGTTCAAAATGCAAGAGCTTGACTTGCATGACTTGTGGTTTCATCATGCCACACAGCACTTGCACTTGGGACTTATTGAGAGGAGAGTTCGGTGAACATTTTATTTCACGTTCGGAACCGGTCAGTTGGACGTCTAGATCTTGCGATTTAACGCCTTTAGACTATTTTTTGTGAAGCTATGTTAAATCTAATGTCTATACAGACAACCCCTCTTCAATTTACGCATTCGAGGATAACATTGAAGCATTTATTCGTGAGATAGCGGCCGAAATGTTGGAAAGAGTATGCCAAAATTGGACTAAGCGGATGGACCATTTGATGCGCTGTCACGGTCAACATTTCCATGAAATAATATTCAAACATTAAATTATATGGACCGTACTATCGATTCATATAAAGGTTTTATGAAATTTTCTGAATTTTATGTGTTTTTTGAAAAACTTTCCTAAAGCTCTTAAAAAATCACCCTTTATTTCTAGACAATTAGCAAAGCCACAAAAATAGACTATGAACCTCATTTCAGCAGCTATAAAAATATATAAATTTTCATATTCTTATTATTGGTTTACATCTCACTTTCAGTTTCTCCCAACTATTGGGCGCTTACACTGATGGTGTTTCCTTTGTTGACCTTGTTTGGCAATATATTGGTGATCCTCTCAGTATTTCGCGAACGATCCTTACAAACAATCACGAACTACTTTATTGTGTCGCTAGCAATAGCCGATCTATTGGTAGCTGTCGTGGTGATGCCATTTGCGGTTTATGTCTTGGTAAGTGCCATTAATTATGTTTGTATATGTTTGAATGTATTCACGACTGCTTGTTGCAACATATGTATATGTATATGTATTTTATTTTATAAGCCCCTACGGCTTACGCCGTATCGAAAGCATGTCAATTATCTTTATTAGACAAAAGAACAAAATTGGTGAATAAAGTAACTGTGGGTCTTTTACACCACGGTAAGAAACAAAACTGACAATTTAAAATAAACAGAACTTTTAGAAAAATGTCCGATTTTGATAATCCTTTTTTATTGGAAAAATTTTGGGATTATTTAAAAAAATTAAGCTATTTACTAACAGGCCTATTTTCACTGTTACCGGTAAAATAAATTTTGTTATTTTTCTTTAAAACCCGAAATTGAATTTGGTATTCTGGAGAGCTGGTTACAACGTTTGAAAAAAATTTGGCAGGACTACTTTTTTCGACCATGTGAAATTACTTTTGCCAGTTGATAAAGTAAAAAGAAAAATTTCCACATCGAAATGGAAGACGGTGCACAAAAAAATTAAAGAGTTTTATTTATTTGTTTATTAAATCATAAATATTTGAACCTAATTATGGAAAATATGCCTGGACAACAACAAAAGCTGAATGAAAACGTTATCTTACAAATCAAAGGGCTATTTTTTAGTCTCGAAAACTTCTTAAAATTCGGCCTTTTGCACTTCATTTTCATCTTCAATGAGTTCCAGGCCTAAAATATGCCTAACCATTTTGGTTTTTATATTTTTTCTCAAACTTACAGCACAAAATCGAACAAAAGATATTTTTGTTATCTCCTATTTCGCTGGTTACAAAATTTACAGGGTAACAGTGAACTCAGAATACGAAATAGTAACAAAATTTACTGAATGGTTTATTTTAATACCTAGGTGAATTTTTTTACCTCGACAGTATAGGCCTGTAAATGTTGGAAATCATTAAATTCTTCCAAATAATTTTGTTTTTATTGGATAAAGTTTGAATTTTTAAGTTGGTTAAGTTGGTCAAACACGGCCCCTTGGTCAAGTGCACCTAGGCCTGTTGGCCCGTTTTGATACCACTGTGGGGTCTATAGAAGAGATTTTTTTTCTGAAACCCCAGTGCTTCACCGTCTCCTCCTCATCTACGTATCTGCAGCCTCGACAGAAGTTATTACAGAAGAAGCCTATCCTTCTACCATGAGTCTCCATCCCACGGTGTCCGTTAATTGTGCCCGTTTTTATGCTCGAGGAATTTTTATTTGAAAGGTGTAGTTATTTGGTTCTTTTTTTATCGAACAGTTCCTAGATATTCCTGGTCAAATTGCATGTAGTTTCAACCGATCATCTGCCATTGGCCTCGGCGAAGGTGAGGCAATTTGCAAAGAAAAGAGATATGCCAGCATCGTCTGCAGACTTTATTGAGGACATACTTCTAAGTTGGCCTCACAAAAGTCTGAAAGAAATAAATTATAATGAATTCATAAGAGTGAAAGCAGAAGAACAAACACAACAATTATTCGATGATGTAGTAACTCCAACTTGTTAAATTCGCCCTGTCTGTAAATTTGCAAAAATAAATTTGTTGTTTACTCAAAATTTTATTGACGAGCTTTAGTTATAAAAAACAGAAAAGATAATAGTAGTAAAGGGGTAAAACAACAAACAAAAACAGGCAGAAAATATTTCGTATTGTCCTCGTTAACAACCAGAACCGTTTGATTCCTTTCTTTGTTCAATCTAGAGAATGCAGAACCTGTGATACCATTGATGGTCGTCTTTTGCTGCACAGAGGCGTGCGTATCTTTGCAGCGAAAAGATAGTGGTATTCGGCTTGTACGCCAGATTAGAATATTTGAGACTTACCATCCATCAATCACGATATGATCGACATTACCCTCACAGGTACAAATTAGGAAACATATTTGCTTCCATTGTCATTATCCTCCGTTGGGCGACACGTTGAGGACTTCACACGAATTATGGCTGAACGTTAAACTCCTATCACAATTCCAACGTCTATGAAAATTTTCCTACTTTGCATGACTGCTGTGGTAAATTTCACAAGTACCCATCTTCTTTCGTCCAGTTCTTTAACAACGGTGATGTCAGATTTTTTGCCAGAACATCAACTAATTAAGGATTCGTTTCTTCATAATCATGAGAGCAAACATTACATTTACACGCCCAAAATCGTGTCATAGAGATTTATGATCCCACACTTATTGTATGTTTTTTAAGCGAAGTAATTGGTTTACGCCCGAACCGGAACTCAATAAAATTACTCTTCAGTCACCAATTTGAGCATGAAATTTTAAAACAGTAAGGTATCCTGTAGCTGACACATTTACAAATGTATATCTAATATTCGAATTCACACCTTTGCTTTGCTTGTTTAAGTTTTAATTGTTTCCCAGTGGCCTTAAATTATGGAATTCGATTACCACAATGGCCATCTGGTTGGGTATTGTTTTACCTTTACAACTTACCTTCAACCGTACATAACATTTATACTGCTAAATACACATATACATATACGAGTATACCAGCACATATATATTTTCAAAAGTGTTGGGCACCAAATATCACTCTTCTCTTGATAATTTCTGAAAACAATTTTTTGACTTTTATTTGCAAAAGGTCTTTTCTAATTTGCATAACACTTCGAATACTAATGTAATTAAGTTTAATTATGGTTCTCAAAAAAAAAAAATAAAAATAAAAATTATAAAACGTGTTACTAATTAGCATTAATATGGGAAGATATGCATAAATCTTAATTGGACGCAAAATTGCGTTTATATAATACTTGACCTCCGAAAATTGTTGTTATTATGAACACATTCAAATCGTAGACAGCCCTGCGCTGACTCATTTAGAAACATTGCAGCTTTGACCTAGACTTTGACTTCATCTTGGAGGGGAACTTTATAGGGCGTTACCCTGCATAAAGCGCGAGTACTCCGTGCACGCATGTAAAATGTACTCTACTGGGGTTAGTATTCGAAATTGAAACGAAAAGCATAACATGTGCCCCCATTAGTTTATTTTTTAATTTCTAATTTATTGCAAATTTAGGTATCTGAAAATTTGTCAATGAAGCTCATTTAGCTAAGCCTTGTTTCGAAGCGTAAAAGTATTTTTAAACTCGCATTGCTTCTTTGCCCTAGTATTTAGAGGTTACCCGTCCGCATGGAATATGCAAATGTCTCCAAGAAAGAATAAAGATTTTAGTATGTTTTTTAGATATTTAATTTATATTGATAATTATAAATATATTAAAAGATAACAATTTTGATTATAATGGATTTAAAGCTAAGTCAACATGAAAATAATTTTTTTTTAATTTTGTACTAAAAGGAATTCGAAATATTTTTGCGTAGAAAATTTTTATTTTGTTTTTCCGCGAGGTACTAGAATCATTAAGCTACACATGAGCTTACTCTGCAGCATGCCACATACAACTGGTCATGGGAGAAGCAGCTTTCTCTCAAGTCAGTTTCACCTTGTTAGAACATTGGCGTCGACTACATTTCGTTTCAATACTTTCACATGTAATCTGTTCACATGTTTATGTTTTGGAAAATGCAATTTTTTGACCTTTTTAAGGACCTTTGGGTCCTCGAAATGATATGCAATTGCTTTTAAAGTGAAAAAATATATTTCAAATAGCGGAACTTTTTATTTTGCTGCAGCGTCTCAGAGCGTGCGTTGAGTACAAGGAAAACTTTAAGCACGTTTTGTTGAAAATCACATTTTTCAAACTGTGGGGGAACACGATTATACGGACCCTATTAAATTGATTTATCTGAAATTTTGAAATTTTCTCAAATACATTTTTACCGGAAGTATTTAGCCGTGTTTCGATTAAATCTAAACTTTTTTTTTAATTTCAATGCGTATTTTTTAGTCAAAAATCAATCTTTACTCAAAAAATTGTGCGGCTTTCACAAAAATTAGTTTAAATTTAAATCCGTACGTCCTTGCAAAGACCATAGTTTGTTTTTCTTTTTTTTTTCTGCTCATCTGGGTCTCATCCTTTAAAAGCAATTGGTCCTCCTATGAACGCCTTGCAAAAAAACAAAAAACAGGGATTAAATAACTGAATAACTGACAGAAAAATCATTAAAGAATATTTTTTTATACTTCAATATATGTTCAATGAATTGGTTAAATATAAATTCTATGCCCTTTCCCACATTCCTCCAAAGATTTATAAAATGAGCATATTTTCAGCCTCAAGAGTGACTTTACCCCTTAAACGATAAACTCAAAGATTTCGAATAGATCGGTCCGTATCCAATTCTAGAAAGCAAATCTGTTTCACATGTCAATTTAGGCAAAGAGTTGCCTGTGTATAAAATTTCGTGTTAATCAAAGGATATAAAAGTAAATTCAATTTTTTCGAAAAAATCCCGATAGGTATTATCTTAGCAATTTTTATATAAATAAAATGATAAATACAAATTTTAATAGACCGGTCTTTGATCCACTTCCCGGAAAATCCTTTCTTACCGGTGCTAACACATCCTCTGAGTTTCAGGCCTTTACCATCAAGGGTTTGTTTTGTGGGTTGATCTGTAAGTCGTTATATATATACGAGTATATTGTAGATTACTGCATTGCAAGCAACATTGCTCGGCATAAATTACAGATATATAATATATAACATATAGTGTAGGAAAACCAATGTATACTCCTAACATAGGTAATGTGAACAGAATATGTATTTAAACAAAACTAGTCTTGACTGCTTCCTTGCTACAGAAGAGCGCTCCGTAAGTACTCAAATACTTTGCAAGTAGACCAGGTGGTTTAACATGTACTCTAGGCCACTTGCATGAGTATTTGAAATTTGCATATGAAAGCACGCTATCAACGCTCGACACGCAAGAAATATGGAAGGCTCACTTGAGACAAATGTGGAATGATAACATTAAGCTTCTTTCTTATTTTGCAAAACGTGCACACGCATTGTCCTATGCACTATGACACCCAGAAACGTAGTGGACTTGGGCACGCTT